TGTTTTATTTATATATATATAATATGAATGAGAGTCATGGGTACTTGTTGATGGCATTAAAATGATTTCTAAGGGTATTAAAAGAGCATTAAAAAGTCTTAAATTGCAGTTAATCATTCCTGTATAAACCATATAGAAGATAATGTAATTAAAACCTCTATATATAAATGTTTACTCTATAAACATAAAAAGTTATGTGATGAACAAACGACCTGATGTTTTGTTCATCTCTTAGAGCATTTATCATAAGTTTTCATGATTCCTGTCAACTTAGATTGATCCTTATACTCACAGCACAGTCCTGTATTTAGCAAAAAACAAACCCACATCATAATTGAGATCATTCAGTTTCTGTGTATTTGAGCTCCACACATTAAAGTTAAGAAGGCAAAGTTTAGGTGTTCAAAGGTGAAATTTATCCAGGTTAATTATTGTAAATTTACTCAGCATGACCTTAATGCAAAAATGACCCATTTCCCCTAAACAACATTACTGTTATTTCCTCTCCATTTCCACCTTGTTGCATTTTAAAACCACCAAACCCCAATTAAGTTGTCACACGTGCATTTTTTTTGTCTCTGCACAAAGAGCGACGTGTGCGCTGACAGGCGCACATGCAGGAGGGTTGCAAGTGATGACTAATTTCCTTGAGAGATTATATGACAATTTAACAACGAGTTTTTCCTCTGAAATCAAAACATTACCTAGAATATCACTCTTGGAGGAACAGCAAGATGACCTAGTTGGTCTTCTACCTGACAGGAGGTTTTTAATCTTTAACCTTTATTGAGGTTTTTGTAAAGCTGACATGTTGTCCAAAGGGGATCACAATGCCAATCTGAAGTCTCTTCACTAATTTATAAAATTCAGCTCTGATGATTACCCTCCTTGTAAAAATTCCTTATTGATTTTAGGAGCGAACTTTCCAATCTGAAATTCCCAGAAGTCACTTCTCTTACATGTTGACCCCATAAAACGTTTATCAGCGATTATAAGACGATTGCAGCTGTCAGCCATCTTTATTTGATCGTCTCAGATGGTGAAGGATGTTCACACTGCTGATGGGTTGTGAAAGAGTGTAGGTTGATGTGTGTGTGTGTGTGTGTGTGTGTGTGTGTGTGTTTGTGTGTGTGTGTGTGTGTTCATGGATGGTGTTTCAACTTTTTGCTGTTTCAGTGTGAAATGCGTACCCGCTCTCCACCTTTTAATCAAAATCATCATCTTTTTTTGAAACAAAAATCATGCATTTGTCAACAGTTTTCAGAAACATAGAGGAAGAGGGTTGGGCCATGACACTTCAAGAATATCTCCTTCCTCTGAACCATGTTAGGGAAGAAAAGAGTTCGATTTGCATAAAAGATGCCCTGCATTGCAGAATAAGCTTTCTGGTGTCTTGTTTCTCAGAATGCAAAATTTAGCCGGTTGTGAAGTTGGAAGCGTGCTGTGGTTTTGGGGAGGGGAGGGAGGGGGGTCCTCTTCATGGCTGAGGAAACGGTCCTTGGCGACACGAGCCTTTTCTACAGATGTGAAATTGGTATTGATGATCTGATCTGAAACTCGTGCAGTCATAGTGAGCAAAAAGATTAAATGAAACTTATGGAGTAAGCTGGAGAGAGTTTTCTCGTACTCTGTTCATTAGTTGCACTTTTGGCGGTATTTGCTGAGACTTAGTAGTAATCTGTAGTACTGTTTCTTTAGGAGTTTATCTTCATAACTAGGGTTAAATGATTTGGCCAATAATCAAAATTAGGATTATTAAATCATTATTTTCCTTTTCTCTAACCACAAACATAGAGATGTTTCTGAAAGCCGGTTTGTCTTCAACTTTGTTATTAACTTTGTGTAAAAAAGTTCCTATTTCAGCATGTATGCATTGATCTGACCCTCTTTGTGGCTGCTAGCCTACCTTAAGCATAATGCAGCCACCTACAGTGCTGGAGTGAGAAATTTAGTGTCTTAATATTGTTGAATGTAACTGGACCAAACACTGAGAGCCTCTGTGATTTGGAAATTGCGATATATATTGAAAATATTTAGTTCATCATCAATATATGAAATAATTAACAGTGACAGGCTCTCATACTACAAGAAGTATAAGGTATCCAACGCCAGACTCCTCCATGTCATATGCTGTGTTCACACTGAATGTGTTTTGAGCTGCAAAAAGCTGCGCAACGCCTTATCTTGGACACTTATGCACATTAAAAAGTGTTTTAAGATGTTTTTAAGCGAAAAGTGAATCTTCAGACATCGTCCAGGTTTCGCAGCATTATGATTGTGCTTTTAAATGGTGTGAAGCTGTTCTGAGCAGCAGATGATTTCTTTGGGTGTTAGCTGGTAGAGATTATAAGCTCTTTTTCAAAACGTAAAAACTGCAAGTACCAGAATTAAAATAAATGAACACTGACTAGTTTTGACATATTAAGATTATGTAGGTCTAAATCATCAGTGCACTTTTTATTTTTTAAAAAGCGGGAAAATATTCTCCTGTCTTATGATGCAAACTCAGGCTAGCTTGTTTACATCTTTTTTATTTACATAATAATCTTGATAATATTTATAGGTTTTATGCTGACAGCTCTGTAGGGGGAGTGATCAGCCGACTCCTGGATCAGCTTTTCTGATCGGCTCCGTGGTCATTACAAGTCATTAAATTATTATTTCTTAAATTAAGGCCTTAATTGGAATTAAAAGGTATTAAATGTGACTATTGTGGCATTTAAAATGATTTATTTAAAAAAGAAAATACGGTTATAAAAATTACAATTTAAAATGACAGTTTCGTAAGATATATCATATCGCAATACATTTGCTCTGAACTGCTTCCGGTTGATCGTAAAGCGGAGTGTCTGGAAAAACGAGGAATGGACATGGTTGCAGTCTGTCGGCAGTTAATATGAACGCGTTTGACGTCTTTTTTATATATGTGTGTGTGTATGAATGTATGTATGAAGAAGTATTAAATTAGAGTTAATTATTCCTGTATAAACCCTTAGGTTGACATGCTGTGTCAAGCTGTAAAAGTTTAGCTTTTTTAAAGGGAAACGCTGTTTTTTTTTTTACATTGGGCCCTTGATTTTATGTTATTACATCATGTTCTACTCACCCATATGAGTTTTGTGTCATTTGAAGCTGTTCTGAAGATAGCTGGCGGACCATAAAGAATAAATTATGAACAGTTTAGTTTGTGCCTTCAAGTCGTTGCCCATAGGAAGACATTACTTGGATATAACCTAATGGAATATCTTCAGAACAGCTCCAAATGACACAAAACTAATATGGGTGAGTAGAACATGATGTAATAATGTAAAATCAAGGGCCCAATGTAAAAAAAAATGGCGTTCCCCTTTTAACTTTGTAGCCGTTTTATAAATGTATTAAAGCACAGGTCCTCTCGACCTGCATCCACCGTAGAGAGAAAGTAAACTGGAAGTTTGTTCTGAATGCAGCATTAGACTGATCCCTTCTCCGACACGGCTGATATAATGCATTCATGTTATTAAGGCCTAATGACTTAGCCCTCATTGGATCTGGTGTGGTGAACCAAGCCACATTTGACCGCTCTTCTCACCAGATCTGGTTAGCCTTACATGGTTGGTTGTTTTTTCTAGGACAGCCTTTGGTTTAAATCTTAAAATGGCTCCAAGGATTGAGATTTTTGGACATTCCAGACGCTAAATTTTTATCCTTATCTGTTGCCACGTCTTAATCAAGTTTTGCAACTCAGACCCAAACTGTCACTTTTGGGTGAAAAAAGGTGGCTTACCAACATAAGAAACATCCTGTAACCATCAATGCTTCAGCTTAAACCAGGATATGATAACTTTACCTCTGACTCTGAGGGCTCAGGCCTAGAAAAACACTTGGCACAAAAATGAACACGGTTTTCAAGTCCTAATCTGCTGCAGAATTTATGGAGAAGCTAGTTTTTGGATTAAAAAACTTTATGGACAAACCATGACTCCTATGAACAACAACGCAAATATTACATGAAGCAGTCAGAGTGAGGATTACAGTCCAAACCGCACCTTTAGGTTTCGATAAAATGTCTTTCCTACTGAGAAGTTAGATGTACATTTCTAGATGTCACACTCTTTAATGGAGAAAAACACTTGCTGATAATTCAGAGAAAAAGGGAGCTGCTTCAATCACCCTTATTACTGGCAACAACCACACTTTTATTAACCCCTGTGCTCAGGCGTCTGTCGGACTTTAGCGTTCTGATGAAACACGACTGGGAAGCTCTTGATAAAGTCGATGTGCAGTTAAAAAAGTGTCTCTGTTGTCACATTTGTTATCAGGAAATCTATCACATTTTATATATATATTTTCATGTAACAAATAAAGTGAGAATGTTCAGAGTTCTGAGGTTATTTTTGACATGAGAATTAGGCCATAAGTTAAAACACTAGTTTTATCTTTTTTTGGTTACCTGATAAACCATAGAATGAGCTGGGTCTGTCTTTGTCTCAGTACTCCTTGGTCTTGGTTGGTGTCGTCTCGACTAAAACACCACGTCTATTCTTGGAAACAGCCGGTGGGTTAAAGTAGGGCTTGTGTGAAGTACTTAAAAGAAGAGCAGTACCATATTTGGACAATTTTTTTTATTTATTTTTTTGCCCTGCCTCACTTATCCAACAGAGCAGAGCTTTCTACTTTTCAGCATTTAATTCTTTTAAGGAACGTGAGCAGTTTTTTTTTTTTTTAACATCCTCTTCTGCTTGAAGTGTGATCAAAATCACTCACTTCTGTAGGTTCTTTTTTTGTTGGTTTTTAATTACAGGGTTTTCCAGGGTCATTTAAATTATATATTTTTTTAATTAGGGCCTTAATTTGCATTAGAATTCATTAAATGTGATTATAGTGGCATTTAAAATGCTTTATTTAATTATTATTTATTTCCAGATCCCTTCGATTTCACCCTGCTTTTATTTTTCATTTCTTAAAACTATATCTCTCTGTTGAGGCGTGTTCATGCTTGTTTCTTCGGTCTTTTACAGTATGGACGGCGGTGAGCTTTTCAGTCGAATCCAGGACAGAGGAGACCAGGCCTTTACAGAGAAAGGTAAATAATGTCATAAACACCCATTTCTACATACGGCAGAAAACCAAACGAGAAGAAAGCCCCTTTATATTGCGGCAGTATTTTATTTGTTCCCTAATATCTTTATTATAGAGGCCTCTGATATCATGAAGAGCATAGGAGAGGCCATCCAGTTCCTACATGCAATCAATATTGCACACAGGGATGTTAAGGTTTGTAACTTAAGTTGATATTTTACTCTTCCGTCTTGAATTGTGTCTTTTCTTAAGTGTTTTTGCTGGTTTTCTGTTTATTTCCTGCAGCCAGAGAATTTACTGTATTCGTCGAAGAGGCCAGGGGCTCTCCTGAAACTCACAGACTTCGGCTTTGCTAAGGAGACGACCTCACACAACTCTTTAGATACTCCCTGCTACACACCATACTACGTTGGTAAGAGGCAGCTCTTCTGTTAGAAAAAGAGTAGAACGGTGTTTCTAGTGCTTCTGAACTAATGCAGAAATCTGGATATCTATTTTAAACATCCTGCTGCTGTGCAGACACTATAGCTTTAATTGTTTAATTGTTCCCACCATAGCTGGGTGTGATTATCCCCATCAGACAAATCTATGGAGCTAAATTAAGTCCATGAAACCTGTCCAAAAAGGTATTTTGCTTCAAATCAAAATAAATATTTTCAAAATGGAAAATTATTTGGAAACTAAAGAAAACAAAGGTTTAAAACTGTTTGTTTTTTTTAAGTTAGAAATGAAAGATTTCACTTATAAAAGTATTGAAACTGAAAAAAGTGTATTTGAAACTGTGAAGAATTTTTTTATTTTCCAAAACCACATACACACAAATAATTGATTATGCTTTAAAAACAGTTTGGTCTTTGCTGTTCCTAAATACAAAAGCTGAGTGTGTGTGTGTGTGTGTATGTATGTATGTATATATATATATATATATATATAAAATATACAGTTTTTATTTTTAATATGTATTTTTTCCACAAGGTTTTTACGGCATTAGTGGCTCGTTTTTCCTACAGTTGGGGTGACAAGAAAAGGGCTACCTGAAAGGGGGAGGGACATGCAGCAAACTGTCAGTCATCATTCAACAACCAATGTTATTTAGGCTTAAAATAACGTTGATTAACGCACGCTTAAGAAGTGTCAAAGATGCTCTTGAGGCAGAAGCTTTTTGGCTGCTTCCAGCGAATGCGTTCTGAACGTAGCATAAGAACGGCCCCAAAAATATCTGGCTATTTATTTGTCTCGTAGAGACAGACTGCAGGAGAGACCTCACCTTGACGCCGTGGCTCTGTGGAGGTGCAACCTTAAAGTCAGGATCAGGCTGGAGTTTCACTTCCACAGAGCCACACAGAACATTGAGGATTTTATTCAGTTGTGGGGTTTTAAAAACATTTTATGTACTGTGTCAGATGATGGAGAACTGCATTTTAACAAGCTCCTCATTTAATGATTTTTAACTGACACTTGTTTTACTATAATAGTGATTTTAACTAACACTTGTTTTACATCAATTGTATATATGTTTGTATTGTGTAAATAAAGTGCTGTTAAAAGTCAAAAAAACAAAACCCATATCAGTCGTTCTCTAATGCGTGCTACTAAAAGAATGGACTCATTTATACAATATTGATTGAATTTTCTTTGTTTTAACTTTATTCTGCTTGTAGCTCCAGAGGTTCTTGGCCCGGAGAAATATGACAAGTCATGCGACATGTGGTCTTTGGGCGTCATTATGTATATTCTGTAAGTCTCTCATTCTTTTCCTTTTTATCTCTTCAGCTTAAATAATTCTGTTTCGCTAATCTTACTTGTTTTTGTTTTTTAATCCAACAGGTTGTGTGGGTATCCTCCTTTCTATTCCAACCATGGACTAGCCATATCTCCTGGGATGAAGAAGAGGATAAGGATGGGGCAGTATGAATTTCCCAACCCTGAATGGTCAGAGGTGTCTGAAGAAGGTAAAAATTGAGAGGGTCCTGTACAGAAATTGGCTAAAATAAGGTTCTTTATGCCACAAGTTTCTATTCATGTACTAAAGGTGATTCAATATAGTTGTATCGTTTTAAATGATGCACCTAAAGCTCCAGTGAAAATTTCTGAAGGTGACATTTTTTTATCATAAGTAGAATTTCATGCCTTCGTAATTATTTCATAAAGTCCCGCTGGTAGGTGAAACCTTCAGATAAAACACGACAGCAGAACTATTTCAAGCCTGATCAAGAAATTGAAACTGATCAAGGCGTTTCGCCTCGATTTTTGCTGCTGCTGAGCTGAAAGTTAGCTCTCATTTTATGAGTAATTTGCTAGTTTTGGTAAGAAAACTGAAGTCATCAGGTGAGGTACAGCTTTCTAGTTTTTTTGGGGGATTCTTCTTCAGTGGATTCTTCATTGTGAAGAATCCACTGAAGAAGCCTTTTCAAAGTGTTGTTTTTCACCCGCAGCGTTCCACATAATATATTTCATCCTCCTGTGGTTTCTCTCTAGAACGCTGCAAAAAGCCTACTTCCTAAACCGCATGCAGATAGCTCTGATTCCATTAATGCACCATCTCTCTAAAAGCGCATTAACAGCAACCAGGTTTTTACCGTCGATGCTTTTTTGTTGTTGTAAATTTTTGTCCTGCTGCAGATTTTTCAGGATTCCTGTAGATCCTTAAAGTAAAAAAAAAAAAAAAAAAAACATTGACTTCCTCGATATAAAAATAAGGCCTTAATTGGTATCAAAATGTCTTAAATCAGTCTTTCATAGGTCTTAAAATTGTAACCAAGTCATAAATAGGATTTTTTTTTGTAATTCATATAAAAAATTTTAATAACTCATGATAATTTTTAGACATTTACCGAACGGCTTAGCTGTAACCATTATTAGTTCCATCCTGACAGCAGAACCAATAAAACAATGTTGCAAATAGACCTCGGAGTGATGCGCCGTGCGGAAGTGTAAATTCAATGAGAATGGGCTATCCAGCCCAACAGTACCTGGTAATGCATATGAGGAATGGCGTATTTTGAGCAAGAACTCATTCAAGCTCGACACGATGGGAATCAAACCTGTGGAGTAAGACGTGAAGAGTGGAAAAACAAAGCGCCATAATGAAGTTACTGAAAAGCAGCAGCTATTTCTCAGTTCTGTTCCACGCTTGTCTCTGTAAGGCCTCTACAGCATCTCCGACGTCAAAAAATGCACCAGTAGCACCAAATGTCCGGATAATGTTTGGTTAATAAGCCTACAATGAAAGCAGAGCTATTATGGACTTTGAGTAGGGATCAAAACAAAGTTTGTGAATTTCATTCATCAGTTTTTAAAAATACATCTGTTATTAGTGTGTTTTTAGCTTTCTTCCTATATAGAAAGTTTTTCAAAATTGTAAACATTTCTACAGGGCCAGAGCGTTAAAATAAGCGTCAGGTTAAATTTGTCGCAACCAGATTAATTGTGAAGTTGGTCTTAAACTTTTATTTCAAGGGACAAAAAAAGTCTTAAATTTAACTTGCCTTATGTAGTAATAATCCTGTTTTTACTAATTCAGAATTTCTCTTTAGTTAAAATTATATCAAATCAACTTGGACAGTTTGCCAGGCCTACCAACCGGAGCAGATAGATGCAGGCTGTGTTAGAGGAAGGGCAGTCTATGTAAAGCAGTTCTATGAATATTTTAGAACTGAAAATAACCAATATTGTGTATAAATTAGCTGTAGCGTCTTTTTGCAGAACAACTGTATTTATCTTTTAGAGACCGTAAGTCGTGCCTTTATCACTACCCGGCTGGATTACTGTAATGCACTTTATTTAAGGGGTTAGTGCCTCTAAAATTGCTCAACTTCAGAGAGTGCAAAATGCTGCAGCACATCTTTTATCTGGCACTCGTAAATATGAGCACAATACCCTGATTTAAGCCTCATTACACTGGTTGGCTAGCCTGATAAACCAGACTAAATGTGAGATTAAATATGTAATTTAAGCTACGTTTACACCGCAGCCTGAAGTGACCCAAATCCGATTTTTTTGTCCATATGCGACCTGGATCTGATCTTTTCATGACAGTCTGAACAACACAGATCCGATATTCCCAATCCGACCCAGGCCACTTGGCTATGTGGTCCTGAATCCGATATGAATCTGATCTTTTCAAATGCGACCTGTGTGTGAACGGCCAGATCGCATTCATCCAACCTGAACGTCATTAATACCCGACAAAGGTCAATATTATGCGTCTTGCTACGCAGAAGCGGTAAGACAAACAACAACCATGGCGGATGATGATGCAGAGAGCAGTATTTATGTTTGACCATATTGAAGAGATTGGGTTTTTATGGTTGGAAAAGATCGCTAGATGGTACTACCATCCATGTTTACTTCCGGAAAAAAAGCGCACGCTGGCCTGTGACGTCTTTACATCCTCTACTCCGCATGCGGGACACTTGCGTTGTATGACTGCAGTTCACACAGGAGATCACATACAAGTTGCATATATTTGAAAATATTTGAAAATTTCGCAAAAAAATCGGAACTGAGCATCAAGGCCTGCAGTGTGAACGTAGCCTTAGTCTGGCCCCGATGAATGAGACATCGGAAGATTGTTGATGAGAACAACATGTCTTTCAAACCATGTCTGTGCCTATTGGCCAACGCTCTGACCAATGAGCGCAACTGACTGTGACGTAGTAAAAGCGACAGAAAGCAGATGGAGGATTGTAAACAAACAGCCTCTTCCTGCTCACGTTTCAATGAAAACCCTAAGTCTAATCCTTCCAAAACTGATTCCAAAGCAAAGTCAAACGAGAACTGTTCAATAGTTGTTGCCATCTTCCTTGTTGTGCTTTCTCCAGCGTCGCACAGCTTCGTCGTCTCCAGCTCTTAAAACCCCCGCCTGCTTTGCATCCAGAAATTCAAAACAAATCTTTGCGTTGTAATTGGCCCGTCAGTTCTAGGGTGTGTGGATGACCTCTTCCATTGCAAATTAAATTTATCTGATTTTTAATCGCTCATATCTTTGCCATGGCTTTCTAAACTGTATAAGATGTTGATTTTAATCTGTGATACATTATTTTACATAACTTTTATTTTTATTTTATTATAGATTTTGTAGTTCAGATTTTGAATTTCCCCTTTAATGCTTGTACGTTTTTTTGTTTTCTTTTTATTCTGTGTAATGTTGGTATGTTGTTTGGCTTACAGCACTTTATAAATAAAGTTGGATTGGATCCATTTTTTTCTTCAGGATCCAAATTTTTACCTAATCTCTGGGATTTACAAGACTGCCTACCTTTCCTAGTGCAATCATTTGGTTAGAAGCTCAAATGACAATCGGTGAACCTTCACTCTACTCTCCAGCCAGAATAAACTTCAGACATGCTGTGGAAGATGCAGCTCACTATTAAAATTCCTCCTGTATCTTCAGTCTTTATGGAGTGGCAGTGTCCATCCCGACGCAGCTTTGTAAGCGATCAGTACAATGCTTTTGCTGAAGGGGCTGATTTCCAGCCAGACTGTTTATCAGTGTCTCTATTTAAGTGATATCTACTCCTCCTGGCCAATGGATGGCGCACTTGAGCTCGCCCGTCTCGTCCCTTTCTGTTAGCTGCCAGATCCGCTAATGCTAACCAGAACCAGACCGGTTCAACTACAACCTACTATTTCTTTTGGTTCTATAATTTCTACATTAGGATCATAAGCGCCAGTAAATATTTATTTTTTGACCCGTTATCATTTCTGAAACTCTGGACATTTAGTGGATGTACTGATTTTGAAAAGTGAACTATTTTGATGAAAATGTTCCAGCTATGACCTTTTTAATATACCTTGGCTATTGCTGCATGAAAGAGCTGAAAATGTGCCACTGCAAACATTAATATAAGCAAGTTTTCTGTCTACAGCTAAACAGCTCATCCGGACCCTCCTGAAGACTGAACCGACCCAAAGGATGACCATCACAGAGTTTATGAATCATCCATGGATCAATGTAAGTGGACAAAATATAGCCCCCATGTTGATGTTTCAGGATTATTATGGCTGCGTTCACACTGCAGGCCTTAACGCTCAATTCCGATTTTTTTGTTAAATCCAATTTTTTTTGTTTGCGTTGCCGTTCAAATTTCCAAATATATACGTATGGGACCTTCTGTGAACTGCATTTATACAGAAGTAAACACGGATGGAAATGCTCGAGGGCATCTAGCGATTTTTCCCAAACTTAATGACGTAGGGAAGTTTTATTTAGATGTCAAATCATTCTGGCTTAAACATGTATATAAATGTACTCTTTATGAGACGATATTGTCCCAAAAGTTATAAAATTTCTATTTTTAAAGAAATCTTGTTTATAAAATCTGTTTTTTTCCCCGTTATTTTCTGCAGGCCAGTTAGTTATAAGTCAGCCTGAACACCTAAATTTGGCCAATCATATATCAACGATCATCTGTCAATCAAATATTTTTGGTCATAGCATCTTGATTCATGTGTCGCAGCTAATATACCCAACGGTTGAAATAAGAAGTCAGAATAATTTCCTTTCCCATTGAGTTCCGTCCCAGTGTTCATGGGGATGGACGTCTGTGTCTTCAGCAGGCGTAGAGCTAACAGCGTTGCGAGGCAAGGGCTCAAACATGTACGGCTGGAAGCCTTCTACACCAAACCAAGCTTCTGCCGCCCTGGCGTCCTCTTCCACAACATCTTCATCCCCGCTTTCCTCCTCTAAATAAAAAATGGATGACGGAAGAGACTCATCCACGACCTCTGACACTAAACTCTCCTCCTCTTGCATGTTTCCTCTGTCCATAGCGTTCCTTGACAGTGTCGTTTCTAAGTCACCAATTTAGTGCTACTTGGTCCCAATGGAATTTCCCATTGGGAACCTACTAGCACTAAGTTGCTAACTGGTTAGCAACGATGTCTCAGACAAACACCACAATCAAACATGCTTATAAACCTTCCGCCACAACAATCCCGCCCCCTGGATAATCGACCAATCACATTCACTTTATTCCCTCCCCCTGGGGAGAATTCGGAACGGCGACGGTTGGAACCGCGTCCCCACGACTTTAAAAACTCAGTCTTTTCAAGAGGGTGGAATTGCTATAGGGATGGACATGGTGCCCATTTACACCGTAGAGAAGCCTGGTTTCCTTCACGTGCTAAAAGTGTGTGATCTGCAGAGTCAAAACACGAAAAGCGCTCTGTGAAAAGTTGAACTATGCTTTGATTTTTTGCATCTACTACAGTCCTTTGGTCCAGTCGATCTCTTCAGCCGTACATGTGTTTAACTGCATTATATCGATGTGAACTGGGCTCTCATAAGCTGCTGCTTACAAACCACCTACTTCCCAGAAGATCAACACAAGTTATTGACTGTTCGATAAATTGCATATTTCAGCAAATGAACCTCTTTTTTTCCTTGCGCTTGTACTGAATATATAGGTAGTTTTTTTTTTAATACTGTGATTAAAACTGTCCAAAATGACTGAAAAAAATTGAAAATTATATTTCTTAGCCTTATCACCCATCCCTAATATGGGCAAAAAATAATTTGGATTAGGGTCACTTCAGGCTGCAGTGTGAACATAGCCTTTGATCTGTGTTTTTGAACCAACATTAGCGGTGATGTTTCTTCTGTCCTAAAGCAATCAATGGAGGTTCCCCAGACCCCACTTCACACCAGCAGGGTTCTAAAGGAAGAGAGGGATGCATGGGAGGAAGTCAAGGTGAGAATCACTCTTGTTTTAATGATCTGAAATCAGTTGTGTTAAGAGTCCAATTTGCTGCTTAGACGCATTATCCATATCAAAGATATTCAAAAATACAGCCGACCAAAATGAGGGGGTGGCAGGTCTCAACTTTAGCATGTTTAGCAACTGTGATTTTATCGCCCTTGAAGTAAGCGGCATTTTTTCGCTTGAACTGGTACATCAGCTTATGTATTTTGTGCCGAGGTTATCTTTTGCTTGGATCGTATCATTCGTTACGTGCACGCAATCATCGATTCAGTTGCGTTCAGCAGCCTGGAGATAACATTAAGGCATAAATTACTTTTCCCCTGTTTGCTTCTCATTGTTAATGATTTGTTTTATAAATGCTTCTTTTATTTGTTTAAATTGTGACTTGTGTTACTTTTATCACTGTTAATTTTTATCAGTTAAATGGAGGAAAAAACAAAAACAATTCAGCTTTAATGGTTGACCTAAAAAATGGGCAGCACATACCGCTGATCGGTTACGCTGATGTCGAAATAATCTGTTAAACAGATCAAATATTATTTAGGTCACATTATCTCATACCAATCCATCACATTTAGTTTCGCTTTTGATTTGTGCTCCAAACAGTAATCAAATAATCTACAGCATTTACAAAAGACAACAAGTATTACTTACTTTTTCTCTCAACTTGGCCTCAAACTTAAAAAAGTTCCATCAAATAAGGGATTTTACTTGCAAACGAAGAGTTTTTATTGTAATGTTCATAATAAAACATCAATAATAGAAACGGATTGCAGTCGTTGCTGCTGCTTCCTATCTGATTGTACGACGTTACGCGCTAAACTGAGGCTCGGGTCTCATCTAAGACTTTAGTTTGCCTTGAATGTCCTGTAATCCAGTTTTAGCCAATGATAGGTGTGCTATAAAATCACCAGATCAAAACTGAAATTTAATACTAGGCTTGTATGTCATAGGGGGACATTACTTTAATATAATAAAACCTCTAAAATACAGGTAATCGGATGAAAAGAATTTAAAGAAGACAAAGGTTTGGTACTAGACTATGGTAATAGTCTGTGCAAACATGTGGAGGGCTGCTGATTACAGGGTTTCCGCAGTCATTAAATTATTTTTGTAATCGATGCCTTAACTGGCATTAAGGTTAATTAAGTGTGATTGTCGTGGCATTAAAATTATTTATAAAAAAAAAAAAAAAAAGTTTATAAAAACAGTTTCATCAGATATAACTGGTTCTGCGTGGTTATATATATATATATATATATGTTTTCTCACCCCTCCACAGTTATATATATATGTATATAAAACCACCTGTATATATGTGTGTATCTATGCATATATGTATATATATGTATATATGTATGTATGTGTTTATATATACACTCGACTCATGGGTTGATGGCATTAAAATTATTTCCAAGAGCATTAAAAAGCATTAAATCAGAGTTAATAATTCGTGTATAAACCGTGGATTAGTTAGTAAAGCAGACGGTTACTGACAAAAGGAGGGGTGAGCTACAAAAGGTTACTGTGAATAAGTTACACAACTAATACTGATAGCCGTGGCTTAGAAACTTTCAGGGAATGATTCATTAGAGTGGGAGCTTCAAGAATGACGATTCTAGGAAGTTGGCTAGAACTAATTCCACTCCTGAACTACAGATGACCTCAGAAGCATCCTGCAAGCACTATGGAGAGTAGCGCTGGTTGCCGCTGTCCTCTCAACTTCGGAATTTTTTTTTAAATTACGCATTAAATCGTAGGGACCATGTAGAGACGCTTTAAAGTATAATATTCTCGTCTCAAATGATGTTAAAACGTACTTTTATTGAACAACAGCAACATAAAAGAGAACTTTAAGTTAATACTCTGAGCTCTGTGAGCGCTCCATTGAAAGCTGCTGCTGCTGCAGTGCATGCTGGGACAGCTGTCAATCTCAAGAACGGACAAGTCTGCTCGAATGCACGCTGGGTAAAGAGGGAGGGGCGAGAACAACATCCAGGGAGTTTGTCTGTTCTCGGTCTGCTTGTCACAGCCACTACCCGATCCGTCCTGGAAGCACGATCCGTCCTGCAGAAAGGATTTTAAGGCATCTTTTTTTGTTAGGAATTGCGTGATTAACCTTAAACACAATATATTTTAGTATGTTTACCATATTTTGTCATTTAGGTATTTTTAACAAAATAATATCGAGGCCGACCCAGATGTATATCTGGATCGTGCTTCCGGGATGGTTCGGGTAGTGACACTGCTGTTCTTGTGAATTGGAACAGTACGAGGGCTAAGGCTGATGACGTTTCACGAGCACATGAGAACGCACAAGTACACATATTGAGCAACGGCCTGTTTCTTTTTTTTTTTTATTGGAAAGTGAACAAAGACTACACTCCTGAGAAACCAGAGTGGAAAAAAGGTTCCAACCACCGGGAGCAGGAACAAATAAAATCAAATGTAATGATAGAAACTTAAGTCAGTTAAATAACCTGCTGCTGTCATTCTGCACATCTCTGATGTTGCTGCTATTTTCAAATATCCATTACTGTAAAAATGTCCATAGCTGGATATTGGTTATTTATTATCCAGGTGGACAGTTTGATATTATTAAAACACTTTACAGTACAGTATTTTATTCTTTATATTTTAACTCTTCACTATTATGTTATTCTTATACATTTTTCAAAGGTACAAATTTGTGTGACCATAAAGAGATATAAGATTTAAGTAAATCTAAGCAATTTATGTATTAAAAATATATCTGCAAAATATGTTATAATCAACAACAAAAAACTTAGTTAAGCAAATTTTTAAATAGCATTTAAATAATTAAACTCCTATCAGATTTATAGTCCCCGCACTGCAGATATACTAGAATCTGTTCTTAAATTTCAGCCAAACCGATTTACACAGTAACAGATAAAAACCTTTAGATAAATCAAACATTACGCCACATATCTGACTTTATAACCATTAAAACAACTATTTTCTTTAGGGGGGTGCCGAAGATGTGTTAGCATCTACCTCAAAAATATGTAGTTGCGCAACTGCTGGCACATATAGTAAGCAGGAGGTCAGTAAGGAGGATCTGAGGTCTAGGATGTACTAGAAAGCTCATCATTCCTCCTCAGCTTAAAGTCTGAAGACAATGTTAATTCTTCATCCATATTCTCACAGCTTTAAGGTCAAACAGGTATTATTATTATCAATGAAACAGGTTAAACTGCAGTGCTTCTAAAGCTTAACTACAATAAATTGAGCCTATGATGGTATAAAACACCCAACTTTGGCATTTAAACCAATCAGCCTGACGTCTCCTGCTGCTCTCTTTCTCAGGAGGAAATGACCAGTGCCTTGGCAACGATGAGGGTCGACTACGAGCAAATCAAAATCAAGACCATCGAAGACTCAAACAATCCACTGCTAAAGAAAAGGAGGAAGAAAGCCTCAACAACCGCTGCCCACTGAGAGCGTGGGGCCTGCATGCACACATTAAACACCAGGTTGAGAGGAGAAAGCAATAATTGTCGACACGAGTCGCACTGCATGGATTTTCTCAGTGTCTTATTTTTCCTAGCAAATTCTGAAGTTTTCTATGTGTTTTTTTTTTTTTTTCTTTTTTGTTACTCGGCTATTTTAACAAGCTCGCCACGCTGCTCCCTGCAGGGTGATGAGCAGGTAGACGTTTTTACTCCGGATAAATATTATGAAATGCAGAGGAACAGGAGAAGGAGACAGGAAGTGGTGTTTGGGATCCTTCTCTCTCTCTCTTCTCTTTTCACAATATCAGGTTGCATACTCAGAGGGGCTTCCAATGTTGGAATAAAACATGGAGCCTTAGTGTTAGCTGTAGTTAAATTTTACCCCCTTATCCGTAAATGTTTTATCTTGTGGCTAATTCCCAAAAAAATGGAAATAAGCAAAGGTTTCTTTCCGTATACATGCAAAGTTAGCAGATGTATTTTGAACTGACGAGGAATGTAAAAGTTGCCTTCCCAGCCTGTGGGAGTTGGCTATATTCTGACAGGAAGTGTCTGTCTGGTTCAGTTTGTCTTTATGAATGTTAAACTGAGGCCTATGCACTCAAACAAGGGAACTGCGCCACTGACCGAGCACCTCAGTCGTATTCCTTCTCTCCTAGCTAAATAGGTGCCGGTCAGACAGAACGTTTTTCTTTTCCATGTAGCTCACCGGAGAGGAGGCAAACGATACTGTATTTTTTCATATATTTCTAAGACAGTTATAGCCTAGGCCTTACTGAGTATTACTTATTATTGCAAATAGCTTTTAACCCCTTTTTGGCTTTTTTTTTTATTTGTTTTGGTCGTTTAAGCTTTTACCAATTTTACCCCTCTGATTGGGAAATATCGGCAGATAGTTTTTCAGGTCAATGCTATGCAGATGTCTGTCAGTTTGGGATAGTGTTGATTTCAAATGTGTTGGGAAGATGTCATGCATCAATAAGGGGGTTTATATAAGGAATAGGAGGGCGGGTGTTTAAACTTATTCCTCCTGCCTTCTTCCTGAGTGAGGACCCTCTAGCAGGTTACCACACTGCTCCCTCCATCACTGATTGGTTGTAAATCTGCCAGGACACTTCCTAACTCACTTGGGATCATAGAAAGTTATCAATAATTTTATCATTTGGGTTTTTGTTTTTGTTACTATGTAAAATCACACCCACCTTAGTATTTGAACCACACGGATGAATCGCTCACAGTGAGAGTGCTTTGGGTCGGGTTTTTGTTTTGACCCCTCAGCATCACATTTTTGTAGTGAAGCACAGATGTGTCTGTCTTTAGGCTCGTCTTAGAGTCTGTTCAGCTCCACCTGTCATACTTTTTGTCTGCTTCAGCTTTGGATTAAAAAACCTCATGTAAAACAACCTGTTTCTTTACTCTCTGTTTGGTTTGTGAAGCGACTTTCTGTACATGGCTCACGGTGCAGAGTCATGAACTTTTAAAAGAAGTCTAGGTTTTATTTTTATGATTATTGTTTTGCAATTGTTGACGAGCAAAATTATTAGTTTGCCTTAGTTTATATAATTTCTGTCACAATTACTTACTTGAATAATTTTTTTAATTTATTGATAATATCCTGAAGTCAGGAGTGAAGCCCTTAAATGGCTGCACCGATTATTAATGAGGTCTATGGAGTGAATTTTATTGCATTATTGTTGTAAGTAGAGAAGGTGTTTTGTAAAAAAAAATGTAATCCAGAAAAAACATTTTAATTTAAAAAAACAAACATTTTGGGAGTTATTTTGCTCTTTGAGCAGATTTTTTTTTTCCAATTTATTTTTCATATTTTATCTTTACTAATTTTATTCTACCTGTTTTTTGTTTTTTTTTGTGTGTGCAAATTTCAGTTTTTAATATTTCAATCAGGCTGTTATTAAATGCATGTTAAAGGAAAAGTCCGGTCAGCAAGGCAAAATCAATGGATCGTTATTTACACCTAATGCTAATATGTTTGCGGTGATTTAATGAATTTAGCATTATTCGGTAAAAAAATACAGTTTTCGTCCGCGATCACTGAGTCTGGGAGCGGCCTTTTTTGCTCAAATATAGTAACCCCTCCCTCCTGAAATCTTCCAGCAGTGACGTCACGGTGCGGTAAGCCTAGCACCATTCTCCCCGCTTTACAAGCTAAATCATTGGGAGCTACTAGACACATCTGCAATCAACAACAATTATTGAAGATTTCCAGAGGACTTCACCATTGAAATTCACCAGAGCTATAGTGAAACTGACAATGCCCACGCGCATGGCAGCTGGATGTTGGAATACATTGGGTAAAAGAGGGGGGGGGGGGGGAGTTATTTCACCTTTCTGATTCCTGATCCTCCACGGATGGGTTCGTCGTTGGATTGCCAACTTGAAGAGGAAGGATTTGCCATCGAAGGAGAATATTTTCAAAATGACTTGGATAATAGCGCGTTGTGACAAACACCAGATACAGCACTGGGACTTGATCAACAGCCGATACCGCACCGTGACGTCACAAACCAGTAGGTGGCAGTAGTGTTCTTTGACAAACATGGATGCCTCCAGTAAAGCACATTCAGATGAAAATTACTCTTAATTAAAAACCCTTATTTATCGAAACGTATGTAATAATTTCATACTTAATGTACTTTCAGAAATTTGTATTCTGAATGTGACCAAACTTTTCCTTTAAAGATCACCTTTTCTTCCCTTCTGGGGGCGAACTTTCCTCTGTATGGACATTAACTCCAACATATGTGTCTAGTTTGGGGCGCGCATCGTCTGCGCAGTGATTACCGCGCACGACCCATGAACTGAGGCCTTAGTTCTCTGCGTGGCCGACTCCGGTTGGAACCGGTTCTGTCGTCCTTTGCTACATGCCCACCCCAACCCCCCCGTACCCCCTGTCCCATCAGCCCTTTTGTACAAAAACAAGCCTCTAGTGCTGTAAAAAACGATGAAATTCTCTTGAGATGGAAGTGAATGTGATCTGTAAAATGCAATTTGTAATAGAATCATAAAAAAAAAAGCAATTTGAAAAAACTAGTCTGTAAAAAATATATATATATACCGTATAAGAAATATAAAAGATATGGTTTTTCTAAGTTTTAATCTCTGGATTACATTTTTTTTTTCTAATTTCCATTTGAAAAGCGTTCATTTCAGCAACAATGGAACAAAATAGATGAATATTTGTGACGGGCCTCCAAAACTACTCAACACCATTTATTAATTTAACTATTTAGATTTTATATGACATCAGTAAAAGAAAAAAACAACAAGCTAAACATCAAAGTGAAGGTGAGGTAAATTGTTGCTTTTTACATTTTTTTATAGTAGTAGTATATAGTTTTTACTCGGCCCTATGTCCTAGTTCTTTTAGACCCAGGTTATGCACTTATTTCAGTGAAAGCCTGCAGTCAGATTTGAAGATAAATGTTTAATTTTTGAGTCTTTTACGTGTTTAGCCGGCCCGTCCTCTTACGAGGGGACCTCCCCTCTTTAGTAACAATAATACGCTCTGGTTGACTGAGACTGACACACACTTGGTATATATCAGGTAATCTGAGACTCAACAACGGTATCGACCTCATTCTTTTATCCACTGATGACAGTCCAAACGCCATGAAAAAAACAGCCAGAAGCCAACTAAAGACCAAGTTTCTGTTTCTGTTGGTCTAGATTTCGAAACACAGAGAGCAGTGAGAAATGCATAGCTGATGAAGCAGTGGCAAATTCATCCAAGGGAAAAAAGAAAATTAAAAACAATCCACTGGACTTTGTTTCCAAGTTTGAAGAAGTTTCGCTTTCCATCCAGGAAGCTTTTTCGATTCAAATAGTCAGACATGGGAAGTTAAACGTCTTCAAACTTGGAAACAAAGTCCAGAGGATTGTTTTTTATTTCCTTTTTTTAAATGACTATGACCTGGATGACTGAGAACCTTCACCAACATCAAACGCAAAGTCTAAAACTGCATGAGTCCGCCTGTTTTTTGTTTTTTTTCCAATCAGGACAGGTATGGTTTTATTAGTTTCTTGCATTTAATTCCCTCTTTGCAGCATGAATAAGAGGTCTTATATGTAAACATTTGGGGATTTTTGGTCCATTTTTGAGCATGTAAACCTTATTTACTCTGGCCCAGAATAATTTACTCTCAAATGTTCTCCTCCACATCCTCCTCCAGGACCCTTTTGTAATTTTAAACCAAGTCTAGCAGTTTAGGTGTTGTTCAAGTTAAGAAATGCTTTTAAATGAAGAGAATGTATTTTTCTTTTTTTCTAGGTCTTCAGATGTGGACTTTGACTAGACCATTTAAGCCCATCTTCTTAACCAATCAGTCAATCAATCAATTTCTTTATTGTCAACTACAATTTGCATTGTAATCGAGATTTCAGTTTCAGTGCAAACTGTTCATCACACCATGTACTTTTTGCTGATGAGGAGGGCTGACGGGGAACGATTTACTAAAGCCAGGCGTGCTGCAGACAGGTTTGCAGCTCCAGCTGTATGCTCAGGGTTACTTCTGCAGCAGGAAGGTGAACCTCCACCCCATCTCTGACCTGAAGTAGGTCCCGGTCCTTCCACCATCTTTGTGTTCGGCTTCATTTATTTTCTCATCAACTGAACGACTTCTTTCCCTGCTGAAGAGAATCCTTCCACCATGTGATTCCACATTATTGAATGATGAGACAAAAGGTTTTTGTCTCATCTGACCAGAGTACTTTCTACCACCTGAGCTGTTTATATTGCTTGTGATGAGGGACGTTCTACAGTTTACTTGCAATTTCCACAAGGACACATTTGTGGAGTGGGAACGCATTAAATTACCACCTGAGCCGTATATTATGGCAGCTCCTCCAGTGAAGCCCTCCTGATGCTGCCTTTCAGGTTTCCATTTTGGGATGTGTTATACAGTGCTTTGATGTTTTCACCTGAATAATATGTTTCATTTTGTGTCAATCTATCATAAAATCTCAGTAAACATTTTTTTTATGACACCTCACATCGACCAAGTATCAGGTATTGACCTCAGTGCCCACATTCAGCTCAGTTTGTCATTTCAATCATGCCTCCAAATATGACTCAGGTTGTTGTGTCTGCTCAGGATTTGCGGGTTTTGTCACAGAGATGCGCACCGAACCCCATGACAGACTTGTATCATCGGCGCCATCATGTATGACTCCTGGAATATACGCATTTACGCAGCAGAACAGCGCGGTGGCATTGACTCAACACCCATTTGCCAACACCGGGCTGTTTAGAGCCAGTTTCCCGCCAGTGTGCAGGGCTGTTTCTCTGCAGGTACGGGGGCATCTGTGGCTTCTGAGCTTCCAGCTCTGAGTGTGGTGAAACCCATAGTCATATCTGTCTCGCAAAGATCTGCTGGGTAATAGAAAGGATAAATGGGGTAAGTGGGGCTCTTGGCGAGTCCCTAGGTATACCTGTAGAGGCTCTAACCCCTTACTACAAACCCAAGAAACCGCAGGACGCCCACTATGTTGGTTTTTATGCAAAAAACAAAAAAGGGGCTCGTCGCTGCTGCTCTTAAAGGAAGGTTGATGCAATAAGCTAAAGCTTCCTCTAAAGAAGCAAAAAAAAAAAGATTTTTGTTTGCTGTTTGGAAACGGTGGCATGTGTCTGCTGTATGCAGCGTTTGAAATGTGAGAGGAAACGTGAAGGATGGAGACTTCTCAGCTGAGAAGGTGAGATACAGTGTTAGTGGCTTTGAAGTGGCATGCCATCCGGCCTCACCCTAACACGTACACATCCTCTCTCCGAGTGACCCGGGCCAGACGGGCCCGCTGCAGCGCCACAGCTGAGCAAACTTTAACCAACTTTGTCAAACGGAAAGTGTCTTTTTTTTGTGTGTGTCTGTCGCTTTGACACGTTTCACAACAAATGCTTATCTCACACTTGTTTTGGAAATCTGTTAGGTCTTACTGTGAAAAACAGAAACAGTCGCATCAGGCACACCTTTACGGACATGCTGCGGTTACTGTGGTTGCTTTGATTGTTTTGGCTTTTTTCTTTTTTTTTTTTTTCTACGCTGCCAGATTATTTTAAAACATGCCCCCTTTTATAGGAACTCCTCTCCATCTTGCTAGAACAACAGTCAAGTGGAGACGCACAGGTGCATCTGAGTAAGTTTAGCAGAGGTCAAGTAGCAAAGTACAAATACTTCATTACTGTACTTAAGTTCACTTTTTAGGTATCTATACTTTACTCCATTACTTATTTTTCTTCCTACTTCTGACTTTTACTTGTTACATTTTCACACAAGTATCTGTACTTTCTATTCCTTACATTTTTAAAACAAAAGTTACTCGTTACTCTTGGCTTCGGTTTAATGTTTATAAATATTTATTTCCTGTCATGTGCGCCATCCAATGCAGATCA